TAATTAGTATTTTATATTTTTTATTCAGAAAGACGGGAAAAAATTCATTGAATTTTAAAGTTGGATTTTCTTAAAGGTTAAATTGCAGTAAAACAAACTTATTAAATGAAATTGAATCATTTTTTTTTAAACTTCTTATGAAGCTTGCTTAAGAAAAATATTTTAATACAAAGTTTTTACAGCAATTATAATTAAAAAAAAAGGCAATCAAACAAGTGGTTTTTATTTTAATTAAAGAGTTATGCGCAAATTTTTTTTCAATAAATATATTTGATATTTTTGCAAATTAAAAAGATTGAATTTTTAAAAAAATATTTTCAGTTTTAAAAATTTTAATAAAAAAAATTGAATTATTTTTTAAAAAATTCTCTTAAAAAAAAAACATATTTTTTCCGACAACAATTATAATAAAAAAAAAAAAAAAAAAAAAAAAAAAAAATAAGCATCAAGTAAAGCAAGTGGTTTTAATTTAAATTAAGAAATTTAAAGCAATTAATTAAAAAATTTCCGTGTTATTATAATAGCCATAAATAACAATGAATAATAAAATAAGAACAACAAAAAGGATAAATCCCATAAATAATTAGTTATATAGTTTATTAATAATAATGAGGGTCTTTGTGTTGATATTATAAATGCCCGCGAAAAGAGGAGAATAAAAGGGTTTTGTTTAGCAGAATAGAATAAAGATGATCGAAAGGCTCATTTTTAATTCAGCAAAGACCACAAACACCTGGGAACAACGCCCGTGAATTTTCCTCGGTGAAAAGAACCCGAATAAGAAGAAGAAGAAGAAGAAGAAGCACTGGAGAGGAAGCGATGGCGCGATTGTCGTGGAGACGGCTCGCGTCGTCGTACTCAAGGAGAATGAGTAACGGAACAGGCAGTGGGTGTTGGTGGCGGTTGCTGATGAGCTTGGAACTCTGGGGGTTGGTGCATGCCAGCTCGTGCCACGCGAAATGCATTATGCATTCGGGCGCAGTTCCTTCTACCTTTACTGTACTACACTATACACTGTACTACCACTAGCAGACTCAGTAGAGCAGCTACTGCAATTACTGCTACAACAACTACTGCTGCTGCTACTACTACTTACGCTCGGCCCTTTAATTTAGACGCGAACGAAAAGAGAGAAGAAGCAATTACCCATACCTTGTGTACGATCTTGAGTCTCTTCCATTCTCCAGCAGTAAGACAATTTGTATGAGTTATCCTCCACAGAGCTAATTCATATCTCAAACTAATTAATTGTCGCCATGTTCCCGCTGAAGAATAACACGCTATTTCGTTTTATTCTATCTCATTACACTGTTCCTTTTTTATAACACCAACAATTTCTTTATTTTTAATGTTTCAACTCTCATTATTTTCTTTATTTGCTCTTTTTTCGGCTTACCCTCTACTCTATTTTTACCACCAGATAAGAATATAAGAATAACCGGGGGTGGTTTTAGTCTCTTCCTCTGCAGTCTCTTATTAATGGCTCTTTTCAAGGTGGCGGTTTAGTTACCCGCGGGCTACCCTGAAATGAGCATGTCCAAAGTAACTAAGGATGGATTCATTCGTTTCTCTTTGCCCGACTACGTACGCTACTGTCTGTACTTGTGAAAAGGGGAAATTGAGTATCTTTTAAGTGTGAGAAATAGCCCAATCGCGAAATGTCGATTCCGCTTGGCAAATGGTCAGTTATTTCCCAAACTATTGCTCCTGGGAATTTATCCAATCCTCGAGATCTATGTATACGTATGTATGTATGTATGTATGTATAGGTGTATTATTTGGGAAAAATAAAAAAGAAACCAGTTGCAGAGTGGTCAACCCCTAAGTCCTAATCCGTTAATGGTTCCAGCCGCACTTTGAATTGCTATAAAATACCCTACATCACGATAAACCGCTCCAGACGTCATTTCCAAAAACTTTCCGAGCTTTTACGTTAATTAAGTGCTGGGTTAAAGCGCCAACAAAATAATATCGACGATAATTTAGTTTTTAGTGAATTTTTGAAAGTTACAATTGGCGGCTGAAATTTCTTAAATTTTCGAAAATATTTTTATAAAAAGTTTGCGCTTTTGAGATAAAAATTTTGGATTTAAAAGTAACTTGAAAAAAAAAGAAGATTGTTTACTAGAGCACTGATAGAAATATTTGTTAATATTTAACAAATCATTTATTATAGACCACTTATTATTAGTATTAAACAAATGTTTTTCTTAGTATTTAAAATAAATTGTTTGCATTCACAGTAAAAAATTTTGCGTCATTGCGTCCAAAAACTTAGTGTTAAAAATTTTTGTGTTAAATATTTAACACTTTTTTGTATTGATTTAACAAAATAAATGTTAAATTTACATATAAAAGTGTTAAATGTTTAACAAAAAAATTTTTAACACAAAATTTTTTGATGCAATGACGCAAAATTTTTTACTGCGTTTAATAAATCTGATATTAATTCATTTATTAAATATTAATAGATCTTTTTAAATACGAAGAAATATTTGTTGAGGACTAAAAAGTGGTCTCTAATAAATGATTTATAAAATATTAACAAACATTTTTAACTATAAACAAATCCTTCTATCAGTAAAGTAATAAAAAAAATGCAATACCGAAAAAAACAGGTCAAATTTTGAACTTTGTTTTGAAATGAAGCAGCCATCGAGTCATTCACAAACAAATATACTAAAATAAATCAATTATTGACTAAACTTCGATTGTTTATTTGCTCCAGTAGCAAACAATACAAGATAATTTAATTTGTCCAATTAATATTGATTAGTAAACTTGCAGGTTAATGAAACAGCCCCAAACTATCGGTTGGATATTTTTAAGAATGGTTATTGTGATTATTTGATTAATATTTGCGCTAATTGATCATTTCTGTTTAATTTAATAGACACACAAATCAATGTTATGAATTATTGCTCTACGATATTTATTGTATTGGATATTAATTAATTAACTAAACATTTGATTTTTCCGATATTTTGCAGCGAAAAAGTGAAACTAAACCTATTTTTAAAGCAATTATAAATTACCAACTGTATAATTTACAAAGTAGATTTGTAAATGTATTAACTAATGAAATTAGACAAATGGTATGAATAATTGATTGGAAATATTAGTCTCACTGGTAATGAATTAATAATAACAACACTATTATAATATCCACTGTCAGCTGTTAGGGACTCTCTAGTGTCTACTGAAGAGCTTCGATATCGTCGCGATTGAATTAAATTCTATATACACCCGCTAAACCGAAACCAGTTGCCAGAAACCCGATACTCACGCCCACCTATTTATCATCCCAACAATTCCAACAAACACACCACCGACAACAAATAACAAAATAACTTAAAAATAATAATAAAACAGGAAAGCGACAACAACACAATACAAAGTTTAAACGTCTGTGATAAATAGCACAGTTTTAAATCTCATAATCTTTTATTTATCTATTTATTTATTTATAAAAACATTCCAGTGATTTTCCCCCAGCGTGCTCATAATATCTTTCTGCATGCTTCAGAGATATTGAATGCAGCCCTCGAGGGACAGTCTATTCAGAATCTGGTGGGCAACTTTACCAGAAACACCAAAGTAACTCATGCTCTCAGATAACTTTTCCCAAGCTGAGAATTCCCGAGGAAATGCTGAGGATACGGAGGCAAAGCCCGCGGATCAACAAGACGAAAAGGTGCAAGTGGAAATGAAAGAAAAATATATAATACCTAAAGGCCTCAAACTAAACTTCACTTTCCTTGTCTCTACACAGACATTGGCAAAAGTATAAATTATTCCATTTCCACTTCCACTGGCAGTCTAGTCTGAGAGCTGTTCGAATAATTTATCAAGTGCAAGCGAAGAATCAAGGGGTGAGGAACAGAGACACAAGATAAGATTTCTACCGGATAAAAACACAGGCTCAGGTACAGAACAAACACTGCTCTCATATTGATATTATTTTATTTAATAATATCACTCAAATTAATGTCAAAAAATTCATGTTAACATATCAAGCCATATAAAAATAAGCCATAAAAATTTGCCCATGGGGCTCTAGATAACTTTTTAATCAAAAGTTCTGAAAAATTCCGACAGATGGCGTATAGTCGCTGAATTTTCTCACTATAGGAGAGTTAACTTTTTAAATTATTAAATACATTTTTTCGCCTCTTTTTTGAGAAGCTTTAAGACTTTTTATTTTAACTTAATAAATTATTAAATTAATTAAAAAAAAAAAATTAAAATTTTGCTTTATTAAATAATGACTTTTGTTAAATTGCACTGTACTTTTTTAAAGATATGAGCTCATCTTGATGTTACACTCGTCAAGAGCTTTCATTTGAGTACCCACATGCATTTTTGATATATTTTTCATATATACATATATGTCATAAATATAAATATATGAAAAATTGATGTGGGTACTCAAATGAAAGGTCTCGATGAGTGTAATATCAGAGTGAGCTTATATCTTTAAAAATGTCAATAGTTTACGAGATACAAGGTCATTTATTAATTATGCATCTAGAGATTATTTGCAATGACACTAAATTTCACTTAAAAAAATCTGATTTTATCATATGACTATCCTGGATACAAAATTTTTCTTAATAATAAAGATTAATACACGTAAGCATTTTTAAAAAGCTGTAATAATTTTTTTTTAACGTAGGTTGATACGGACAAGTATAAAAATTTTTCCACGGATTATCTTCCGGCACATCGATATCCCTCGTGAGAAGAAGATTAGGTAGAAGTCAGAATTCACAAAGCCCGGAGCGATAGAGTGAGTACAAAATTTTCATCCCTATCATCAGTTACTCATATTCAGGTTTGTTTATTTATAAAAGTTTCCGGTGTAAAAGCTCCGTCCATAAATTATTGGAGGACACCGGTGTTGAGATGTCGAAAGTAGGGACAAACAAACCGCATCTGTGTACTCTGTACTACACGACATTCAATACCATTAACTCACTACGTCTTTAATTACAGAGAGAATGCTTAAGCCCAAGTTTAAGGCCTCCTCGGTTAAGCCAGGTAAATCCCTGATTACTCAAATTACCATAATCGCAATTTATTAATTACGAAACTTGTAGAAAAATTTAGTTGATTTAAGATTTTATTTTTAATCAAGCTTTACTTATTTTTGGCCGTAAAAAATTGATATTTTTAATTTTTTTTATTTATTTAAATAAGAAAAAAATTTTATGCTTGATCAAAAACAATTAAACTCTTTAAAATAATTTTTTTACCCAAAAATTTATCATCTGAAATCAAGTTAATTTTTCTATGTTCAAAAAAATTTGTACAATTTTTTTTTCCAAGTCCAAATTTTTTATCAAATTTAATAAAAATACACTTGTAGAAAAATTTATTTGATTTAAGATAATTTATTTTTAATCAAGCCTAACTTATTTTTGGCCATAAAAATTTGATATTTTCGATTTTTTTTATTATTTGTTATATTTATTTAAATAAAAAAAAATATTATGCTTGATTAGAAACAATTAAACTCTTTAAAATAATTTTTTTACCCAAAAATTTATTATCTTAAATCAAGTTAATTTTTCTATGTTAAAAAAAATTTATACAATTTTTTTTTCCAAATAAAAAAATTGTCGATTGTTGGTACTTTGATATCACAAAATTCCCGTGTGTTTAATCAAACAAAACTTGGAGGATTGTTATTTACTAAATTTGTATTTTGCTGCGCTTACTTGCACTAATGTTTAATAATAAAAGCTTGCTTTGTTATTTACCAACGAGAAAGCAGCTGTAGTATTGTATTTTGTATTTTTTATTTGTATTGGAATGTATTTTATTTAAAAAGTTTAGTTGCCGGAACGGCGTGAGCATGAATTTGTAATTTTCCTCTTGAGCTGGGTGTATCTCAAGACACAATGAGCTTATTGTTTATTGAATTAACTGACTGGGTGAATAGTCCAAATGGAATTGGCATAACTGCAGGCGGATGGAAACAGAATTTATGCTCCAGAAATTAAATGTAATACGCCAGCCAGCCAGCCAGCTAGCTACAAGTACTATGCACTGTACTGTAGACATAGATACAGACTGCGAACGCTAATTAAGTTTTTGTATTAACCCACTGATCGCGTTACATCATACCACGCATCCCAATCTAGTCTCATGTTCCTCATCATCATCAAAATCATCTTCCTCGTATTTACCTGATATTTATTAATTTCATCAGATTTATTACGCCTGTAAGCAAACACAATGCCTCAATGTACCCATCAGGGATGCCAGAACTTCGCTACCGGGAGTGTGATGTTAATTAAAAAACAATATTGCTATTTTTAATGAGAGCTGGATGGATATAAAATAAATATAATAGAAGAAATAGATGGGTGCAAATAACGAGCGTGATTTAATATAATTTCAATCAGTCGTATACTACAGTATTTAAACCCACTCGGCATAAAATATAATGATAACGGATGCGATAATTAATAATCGTGTGAATGAATTAATGGACGTTATTGAAATAAAGGCGGAATTGTTGAAATAATCACGAGTTCCGAGGTTGTTAAATTATAAAATAGCTTAAGTTAAATAATAATTTAATCAGCATCGGTGTATGTGTGTATGTAATAAAACGTAAAACCTCACGGTAGTTAGTTTTAAATACGTTAGTTGGTTTTGCAGAAGCCGACTAGACGGTCTACTGACAAATTTATTCACTCGGCTGCTGCCCACTTCTACTAACACTAAAATACCAATGCCGTCTGTGTAAAGACCATTTGAAATGCAAACAGAGCTAGAGACTGCCAGAAAAAGATGGGCCTTTTATGTAATACTCCTACACTCTCTTGGATTAGCATCGTTTTTACTAGTGCTACTAAGACAACTTGAACCTCAATGTCGTCTTACCATTTTTATCTTGCTCCATTTCATCTCACTTCCGAGAGAAGATATGGATGCTACTTTTGACTTATATGGCCTGGCTTTTTTTAGGATTAAAGATAACAGAAATAATTGATGCCTAAAGAGGTGATTGTTAAATTCTTTCTTTGGTATTAATCGTTTCTTTTGATCTATATTATTAAGAGAATAAGATAAATTTAGTGTCTAGGATAATCAATTTATTATGATAAGTATTTAGGCTGCATTCGAAAATATTCAATCTGTAGATACATAATTATAAAACGACCTTGTATTTTGTAAAATATTGATATTTTTAAAGATATAAGCTCATCCCGATGTTACATTCTTCGAGACCTTTTATTTGAGTACCCACATCAATTTTTCATATATTTCATATATTTATATATATATGAAAAATATATAT